CAGTCACAAAAAGGACAAAAAAAAAAAGAAACAGGGGAAACACTTCAGGAAGTAGGAATGGGCAGAGATCTTATGAATAAGATGCCAAAAGCTCAGGCAACAAAAGAAAAAATGAACAAATTGGATTATATCAAACTAAATAGCTTCTGCACAGAAAAAGAAACAATTAACAGAGCAAAGAGGCAACCAGCAGAATGGGAGAAAACATCTGCAAACCATGCATCCCACAAGGAATTAATATCCAGAATATACAAGGAACCCGAACAACTTAACAATAAAAAAACAAGTAACCCAGTTAAAAAATGAGCAAAGGAGCTGAATAGGCATTTCTCAAAGGAAGATATATAAATGGCTAACAGACACATGAGAAAATGCTCAGCATCACTAAGCATCAGGGAAATGGAAATCAAAACCACACTTAGATATCATCTCATGCCACTTAGACTGTTACCAAAAACAGAACAACAAATGTTGGCAAGGATATAGAATAAGATGAACCCTCCTACGTAGCTAGTGGGACTGTAATTTATTGCAGCCTTTACGGAAAACAGTATGGAGGTTCCTCAAGCAACTACAGATAGAACTTCCATACAATCCGGCAATCCTGCTACTGGTTATATACCCAAAGGAATGGAAACCATCATGTTGAAGGGATATCTGCACTCCCATGTTTATCATAGTTCTACTGACAATAGCAAGAGTTGGAAACAACCTAAATGTCTATCAATGGACAATTGGAAAAGGAAAATGTGGTATATTTACACAGTGGAATACTATTCTACAACAAAAATGAATGAAATTCTGCCACTCGCAGCAACACAGATAAACTTAAAGAAAAATCATGTTAAGAGAAATAAGTCAGGAACGGAAAGAGAAACATTGCATGTCCTCACTCATAAGTTTGACCTAAAGAAAACAAATAAGCAAATAATTTTTTTAAAAAAAAGAAAGAAAGATACAGTAATCACAATAATACACTGAACTTTCAAAAGGAGAGAACAGAACTGAAGTTACCTGAGTTGGGAAATGCGGAAAGAAAAAGGTGTTTAGTAAAAAACTGGTAAACGGTCACAAAAAATTATTATGTTGTATAATGCTGAATATACTAATTATCCTGATTTGAGAATCACATATTGCACACAGGTATTGATATTCAATGTGGTACCAAAGAGATATATACAATCAATTATGTTTCACTAAAAAAAAAAAAATTAATGTCTAAATTAGGCAATAATATATGCAGAGGTATTAAGCTAAAATAATTCAAAAGTCCTAGATTTAAAATGCACTCTACATTAATATTGAACTGAGTGACTTTGAGAAAAGCAATTAAATCTCGGTCTCAGTTTTCTGACCATTAAAATGGGATCACTATTGTTATGATGACTGAATGAGGCACACAACAGTACTGTTTAAACTGTAAAGTAATCTTCAGCTGAATATAACAAAAAATAGATCAAAGGCCAAATATAATGGTTTACGATGTTTAAAATGTTGTGTTCAGTGAGAATTTTGTTCAAGTGAACTCTTAATCAGAGGATATTTAATAAAATAAAGGTCCCATTGTCTGGGTTTGGCTGAGAGTATGCGTAATGACCATAAGGAGAGTGATGGAAGCAACCTTCACACTCTCCCCTCCCTGTTGTCCCCCAAGCTTTCTCCTAGAACACCATTGTGTGCAACAGGCTTTGGAATCATACAGATTGGGCTACAAAATTCTGATTTTATCACTAATCAGCTTCTGAGCCACACCTTCTTCAATTACAAGATGAAGCCAATATCACCTACTTTTCACGGACTAGAGATAATGTATATCAGAAAACCTAGAAGAATGCCCAGTATGTAATACATGACCTTTCTAGAAAAGTTTTACATACACAAATCTTTAAGACATATGCATTTAAAAAGCACTAAAATTCAAGTATATTCAAAGTAATTAATTTAAGAACTTCAGCCTAAAATTTGGATGTCTGAAATACTATGATTTAAGTAATTTCTCTGCTATTCATTTTCCACGAATCACTTCAAGTAATATTTTTGAAATACCAACTTGGCCAAGTGACTCATCTGGCTTACTACTGCTAAGAGAATAATGCCAATGCTCCTGTTGTGACACAAGAGCCCTTTAGCATCTGCCCTAAGTCTATCTATCATATCCAGTTATTAACTGATCTTTGAATAGTACATGTAGTTTTAAAAATAACCTTTATCTTTCAGAAACAGTGAATGTGCATTGTGAAAAATTAAAAATTAGAAAATGTAGAGAAAAAAAAGATATCACATTCTCACCATCTAGGTATCATCACTATTTATACCTTAAAGTATATCCTTCTGGAGATATACAGATACACATATAGATACAGATACATGATCATAATGTACATACTACTTTAAAACCTGCTTTCTTCAGTCAATAATCTCCACCCTTCCATTTCAGTAAATTTCAGTCTCCTTGTATAGGCCATATTCAGATTTCCCCAACTGTTCTTTATAGCTGATCTATCCAAACCAATACCCAAGTCCAAATCTCACACTGCATCTAGTTTTTCCTTGCATTTATTTTAATGTAGCACTGTCACTTCCCCCCAACCATCTTTTTTAGTAATATTAACAAGCTAAAGAGATTGCACTGCTTTTCCTACAGAAATGTCCAACATTCTGAATATGTCTGGTTTCTTCCTTTCTTATTCTTCTATCACATGTTTTTCTAGATGCAGAAAAAGATAAAAGTGTATGACCCTTTAAGGTTAAAACTGTGGGAATTACATGAAAATCTGCATAAGGAATGAAAATACTCCCAGTCTTCTATACCTTTATTTTCCAAGGAAAAACTAAGAGGTTTCTTCTCTGGGAAACTACAACCACCTCAGAAGGAAAACTCCTTCACTTAGTAAGTGTTGAAGTTCCTCCGACATCTATCCATCACCATAAATTGAAAACAGCAGGTTGACAAGTCCAGTCCATGTACAAAGAGTACTGAATCAACTTTTTAGTTCCTCACTCTGAAATCTTAATAAACAACAAAGAATCATTATATAGTTGAAGAAATATTCCAAAATAAAGAGAAAACAAAATAAAGAACAAAATGACCCTTTAGAAAGAGAGAGAATGCAGGGAACCAGATTTTTTGTTTTATTTCTTAATAAAACAGAAAAAAAAAACTTTCTACTCAATATAGTTCCTGAAAAAACAATAATTAAATGATAAGAATAAGAAACAGTATACAATCAATAAATACTTCTTGGGAACTGAAAATATAATTGCCATGAGAGTTAAATAAAAGTTGACAGCTAGAATATAAAGTTGAGGGAATATACCAGAAAACATAATCAAACCCAAAGAAAAGGAAAATATAAAATAAATAAATAAAAGATTAAGAAATTCAATTCAGAACCTCTAGTTCCTGATTCCTAAAAATTACAGAAAGATAACAGAGAAAATGAGGAAAGAAAATAATCACAGAAATAACAAGAAAATTTCACAGTACATGAATCTCCAACAACTCCATCGACTGCTGTAAGCTCTATGGCTCAGTATTTCAATCACAGAATATCTTTCAGCCTTGGAAGGACTCCAGGAATCACAGATTTGAGAAGAATCCTCCATCTTCTTGCCCCCAGCCTTAGCACAGAAAAGTTTCTTTGCAAGGCCAAAGATAGAGCAGAGCCAGAGCAGAAGCCCCCGGCATCCTGCTATGGGGGGCTGAGGGCCTCAGCCATGTCCACGGCTGACCACAACCAGACCAGCAACAGAACCAGAAGCCCCCAGGGCCCTGAGATAGGGGACCAAAGACTTTAGCCCCATCCTCCAGCTGCAATCAGGCCAGCAATGGAGCCAGCTGTGTGCCAGCCCTGTACCCACCTTATCCCCTCCTCCCCCAACACCCTAGAATGTACTTATTAAAAAAATTTTTTTTAAGTTTTAAAAAAGTTTGTTTTCAAAAGATAATCAACTACCCACAAGAATAGGGAGAAGTAGCAAAAAAAAAAAAAAAATCCATAACCAAGTAATATAAAATAATTTACATGACTTTAATAGAATAGTTATACTGTCATTATTAACACAGGAGCAATATTTCACATCAACCACCCTTCACTGGGCATATACCATGAGTTTTGTTCTGATGGCCACCAGAAATTCTAAGACTTGTTCCCTGCTCATATGAAGCTAAAATATACAATCCTGAGGAAGGTGATGCAAAAACGAAAGTGAGTAGTAAAGAGAAGTCAGGTTGTTCTTTCTCAACCATAGTTTTAAGCTAAATTTGGCTAGTATACAAAATACAAATATAGATTTAAAACCAAACCGAAGATATGTTTGATTTAAGATTAGTATTTTATTTCTTGGTTTTCTCCTATTCAACTGACCTTGTCTGTAAATGCTAAATGCTTAAACAAAGAAAAGTACTATTGTATCAGAAGCCAGGTTCTCCCATCAGCTCATCCTGTGACTTTGAACAAGTTGTATCACTGCTGTGAGTCTATATTTTCTCAAAAAAAAAAAAAAAAAAATTGAGAGGACTGGAAAAGATTAAACTTGAAGGTCCCAAACAAAAATTAAATTATATGACTATCACATGTAAATAATAACTCCTGTTTCTTATTTCCCATTTAGCTGAAATTATAGCAGCAGCTACTGATTACTGAATGCCTGCTGTGTTTCACATATTAGATTGCTCAGTTTACAACTACTATTTCTAATTATCTCAACAACCTTAAAATGCGGATACTACAAAAATGAGAAAGCAAGCAGAGAGAATGGCTTACCAAATATCACACAGCTCATAAGTGCTGGAAACTGTGCTTTGAGACCATAATGCAAAATCCCATATTTTTCTCCCACAAAAGTTTCTATTATGTACTATTTACAAGCATTATTTCTACAGAAATCTAAGTAAACATTAGAAACCAAGTAACTTTAAACAACAACAAAAAAAAAAAAGCAAACAACCCTTTTGCAATTCAAAATATCAGAAATGGAAATGTTCATTCCATACTCACCTGATGCAGCAGACGTTTCAGTTTGAGCAACTGAGTTTTTACAGAAGTGCAATCCTGGACCATGTGCCGGAGGGTCATCTCATCCAGTATCACTGTATTTTCTGGTACATCTACAAACATCTTCTGAGCCTGGAAAAAGGGAGTCCCTCCATAGCTTTCAAAATGACCCAAAGGAGATTCTCTATAGGGAGAGCCTCTGCAAGGGCAGGGGAAGAAGGTGGAGGGGAAAGATACATGATATAATTTCAGAAAGAAATACAGGTAATGAAATTACTGCAGAAATTATGACAAATCATAACGTTATCACAAAGCCTTTGACTTTTACTCACCTCAGTCACTGAATGTGTTTCCACTGAAACATTCAATCAGCTCTAGTTGTTATTAAAACAATTATCTTCTGTACGGCACCCCCCTCCCTGCCCTTTTTGTGTATTTTACGCATTGGTTGAACAAACTTTCTTCCTTAGGCACCAGAATAGAAACAAAATACTCTAGAAAAGGCTTAAGAGGAAAAAATTATACTTATTCTTCCTTTTCTGCACTGATTTCCTGATCTTCAGCTTTTGAATTTGCTTGGCCTCTTAAACTGCCTTTTCTAGCCCTGTAACTTTGCTACCCACATTAATTCCCAGTTTGGACACACCCTTGGACTCCCATTTCTTGAAAGTTCCAGCAGGCAGTTATGACAGATAAACTGCTATTTCCTTTCATTTGTTTTTACGCTGTTGATAAATCATCCTTTCCAATAAAGATTAAACAAGGTTTTATAAAAGTCTTATATACACCACATATTCCCTAATCTTAAACTGCATTAAAAAAATCTACTTTAAAACAATTTTAGACTTCTCTTCAGTTTCATACAATAATATACATGTTGAATAAGAACAAAAAATTAAGGATAATGTGTTTCATGGGAGTAAAAAAAAATATCAATAAGAAGTCATGGCTACAGCAATTTTTAAAAATTACTCAAATTATGACAAGAACTTATTATGTGAAATACCAATATTTAAAATAACACACTAAAAAAGTGTTCTCTCCAACACTTTAACATGTCAGGATTAAATTCATAATGCATTAAATTTGCAGAAGTCACAATACATTAAATTTCAACCATTTTAAAAAGGTAGAAAAATGGTTTCTACTAAATTTTCAAGCTTTTAACAAACATCCCTATGTCTCTGAATTCTCAATATTCAATGAAGTTGATTTTCACGAGATTATTTTTCTCTGAAACTATTTCTCATAAGTATTTCAGGCCTTTCTTTTTTTTTAAGAATTTTTAAGTTGCTGATCCATAATTAAGAAATTAATTTTGTCCCATATCATTCTACTTTATTTTACTGGTTCAAAATATTGCTGAATTATTAAATTTCAAATACTGATAAATTAATTAGTATGAATTTACTTATCCATGATTGGCTGGATGTACAATCTAGACATGGACTGATAAATTACAGTAATAAAAAGCTACAAAAAGAGTTAAGACAAAAATAAAGAATTGCCTAGTGAATGAACATTAGAGATAAAAAGAGTTATATTTTAAGAGAAAAAGGTTAACATACTTTGGGAAATTTTCCTGGGTAGGAAAAATTTAGGATGAACTATAAAGTATGAGGTTTGGGTATGACGGAAATGAAATGCTAAAGTTTCCACAAAAAAAAAAAAAAAAGTAAAGGCACAAAGTGCAAGACGTGTTTTCCAGGGACAAGGAGACTCAAATGTGGCTTATGATGCCACAGATAGCTTGAATCCAATTTATTCTTCAGCTTTTTCCCACAACACCCCTCAGAGTGACTTCTTAATCCACAGCTAATTACCTGAGATTTCCAAAGCATGCTACAATCTCCCTCATCTCCAAATGCACGTCTCAACCTCTCTTTAGTTTCTGCCAATCTACCCATCCTGCTCTCCACTGCACACATGAACTGAGTAACTCCTCGTGTTAAGTTATTCGGCACTTCTTCAGGAAAAGTTTTCTTTTTTTTTTTTTTTTTTTTTCCTTTTTTTTACCTGAGATTTCCAAAGCATGCTACAATCTCCCTCATCTCCAAATGCACGTCTCAACCTCTCTTTAGTTTCTGCCAATCTACCCATCCTGCTCTCCACTGCACACATGAACTGAGTAACTCCTCGTGTTAAGTTATTCGGCACTTCTTCAGGAAAAGTTTTCTTTTTTTTTTTTTTTTTTTCTCCTTTTTGTCTTTTTTCATGTCCGGCAACGGATCACAACCCTCGGTGTCGCGCCTGCACCTCGCTCAGCCAGTGAGCGGCCGGTCTGTATGTGGGATCCGAACCCTCGGCGGGAGCGCCGCCACACTCCCAAGCGGCGCACTGTAGCAGTGCGCCACCGGGCCGGCCCCAGGAAAAGTTTTCTTAATCCACTAAATCAGGAGTTGACACTTTCATAGCTGTCCTTATAGAGTCCTGCACTGTGTCCCACTATACCATTTATCACAGTATACTGTGTTTGTTTACAATCTATGCCAAATTATAAACTCCATGAAGAGGCATACTGTATATTCTTTTCCTTTGTATCTGGGCTTTATTTGTTTTTGTACTGAATGGGTAAGGAGCACAAATTTTAACCACTAGGATTTTTTTAAAGCATTCATATCTTTGAGATTTTAGAATTCTGTAGTTGTGACATGACAAAAGCACTGCTTTAGAATTAAAATCTGGAAATGGTCACATTAAAACTAGTCCCAGTTAATAATCAAGTTAAAATCGTGCCAAGTGAGTAAAAGAAAAATTAGAGAAAAAAGATACTGAAGGAGAGTGGTCTGCAGTCTATATAGCATGAGAATAAGGTAGGAAATACAACTTACATTTTACGTTAACATAAATGTGAACCAAATGCATGGGACTAATGAGTTAAATATATTTGGGTTTTTTTTTTTTTTTTTTTTTTTTGTCTTTTTCCATGTCCGGCAACGGATCGCAACCCTCAGTTTCACCCCCGTACCGGACCGGGACCGGCAACGGGATCGCAACCCTCAGTGTTGCCCCCGCGCCTCGTTCAGCCAGTGAGCGGGAACCGGTCTGTATGTGGGATCTGAACCCTCGGCGGGAGCGCCTCCGCGCTTCCCAAGCGGCGCACTAGCGCAGTGCGCCACCGGGCCGGCCCTAAATATATTTGAATAGTCAACAAGTCTTAAAGACTCACTAACTATGCACACAAAGAACTGGCCTCTAGAAAAGCCAATTAGATTAAAGAGCCAGCTCTGGCCTCAAATTTAGGTGTAAATCATAGTAGACAGTAACTAGCTATTAAAAATACTTAATACCTTTGGGCCATAGTTTCTTTAACTCTCAATGTCTCCACTGCCTGCTGAATAAAGTTCTTATGCCTTAGGTTGCATTCAAATACTTCCACCATGAGATTCTAAACTAAACTTGTATCTTCTCCTAGTAATGAAATGCTACTTCCTTCAGAAGCCCTTTCTGATCCCCTCAACTAGACAAAACTACCATTTTATGATTCTTAATTTATTTTACTGCATAAATTAAGGAAAAATATATACTTATCAACTCTAATTGGATTGTAAACCATTTGAAAATAGAGCCATATCTTATAGATTGTTATATTACCTGCATAGATCATCTGAGTTCAAATCTCAGCTGTCACTTACTAGATATATAACACAAAGACCAAGTTACTTATTCTCTCTGTGATTCATTTTCCTCATCTATAAAATGGGGGATAATAGCTGTACTTACCTTATTAGATTGGTATAAGAATTAAATGAGGTAATATATGACGATACTTTAAAAAGTTTGTGGAAAAATAGAAGTGAAAGATAATACAAATATTACATGAACTTTTGAAGTCCTCTTGTATGTTACAGTGCTTGGAACAGAGCATGACATACAGTAAATATTAAATAAACAATTAGTATTGCATTATGATTGTTATTATTAATAATTTCAAACTTCTTTTTATTGAAAAAAATTTAAACAAATGTCAGAAGAATACTACAATGATCAACCATATACCTCACCTATATTTACTGACTATTAAAATATTGACACATTTGCTTTAAACCTGTATATTCATTGCTAAACCATCTGACAATAAATTAAACATAAAACCACTGGAGGAGCATTTACTGGAAAAAAATAAATATAACTGAGAAGGCTAAGAAGCAGAAAGAGACAAAGATGGAACAGAAGGCAAATATATAACCAAGGTTATTCTCAGAAAATAAAAGGAGACTATGAAGATGTTAGAGGGTGGGGAACATAGGATAGAAAGCTAATGAAGATTTTGAGATTTTTAGATTATTAGAAAATGATGTAGTTCACACATGAGAAACTAAATCTTAGAAAAAGAATGGGAGGTATAAATCACTTTCTAAGACCAAAGGCATGAATCCAAGGACAAAGGCATAAAGAGGTTGAAAGGAATAAACATGAGACAAAAGAGGAACTGCTGGCCATAACATCCCATATTAAGTCGACAGGTATAAATCTGTATGTGTGTATAAATTTTAACAGTAATAGATTTCTAGCAGAAAAATTACGTAGCAAAAGCAAAACTATAAGCTGCTATGATGTGGATTCCTTAAAACGTTAGTGGTACATTAATGAAAAGAGAATCTATGTAGACGATCACAGTCCTGGCAGGCTGGTTGATATGAACTAATAGGGATATGGTTCGAGGCAAAAATGAGTTCAGTGGCTAGAAAAGCATGAGAAAGAAATGCCCACTATCACCAATATTACCTAACATTATCCTGAAAGTACAACCAATAAAATCAACAGGAAAAAAACAGGATGCAGACAAACTGCAGAAAGGAATCTTTTTAAAATATCATTTTTTAAAACACATTTAAACTGAATCCACATACAGCAGCAGCATCTCATATTAAAACCACAAACCTAAAAAATCACATGGGTGCATAATCATTTATTGCAGTTTTAAAGGAATCTCCCCAAATGGCTACATCCATAAGCTTCCAAATAACTTTATCCTTCCCCACTTCCAACAGAATCTCTTGATTACTAAATGTGTGGTTTTGTGCCAATCTTCAAGCATGTGATACATAGGTTAGACTGTGAGTGCAGATGTCTGTGTAGCTGTGTGAGACAGAGATTTTTCTTTTTAATTTCTTACCTAATCTAACTCACAATTTTAATTTCACCAAATCTTTAGTATTTCTTTTCTCACATTAATAAAAACTTTATATTAAAACT